AAATGGGTTTCTTTTGAAGAAAGTGCTCAAACTGTCGCATATGACAATAGCCCGCAGTTTTCAATTCACCTATCAGATGGTGAGATTAGCCTTGATTTGAGGAGAAGTCAATGTCCAATTTGAGGATTCGGAGCCGACCAGATTACTAGTATAAGAAAAGCTCCAACAAGTCTATTTACCAAGAGACAGTTTAAAGCCAACTCCTGAATCAAAAAGTTTTGAAAGTGAATAGATAATGTTATTTGCGTAGTGAATCAAAGAGTTTATTTATTTAAAAAGCAAACGTTCAGGCCAATTTTCTGGCATAAGATTATATTTGATTCAAGGCTATAAACCACAAAAAAAACAGAAAACTGACTGAAAAAAGGTGTTATCACTTTCTTTCAAAGTCAAAAATAGTGATGTGTCAAACTTTTGCGAATTTGATCAAAATATTTTGGTAAAGTAAAGTAAAGTAAGTGCCTGGTAAAGTAAACCAAGAAAAGTTGGGCTTGCTTTTTAAGATTACTACTGGATTGTTCTACTGTACTGTACTGTACTGTACTGGAATCTTCTACTGTCTTATGTTTTACTCTAGATTTTTTTACAATATTCTATGGATTAAATTGATATTGTGCCATACTCTAAGAACTAAATAGGATGCAAATTTTGTCTCAACAGAAGAAAAAGATCAGTGAAAGTGTTGAATGAATTACTGATGATTTGGGAAGTGAAAGGGTTGCTTTTTGGCTTTTTGGTCATTCTGGCCCTTTGCTTTTTAACGTTTTGATCATCCTGGGACACTTTTTGTTTTCAAATTGATTCTTTAACATTACCAATCTTTTATTCATCACCTTTTTGACCATCCTGAGACACTTTTCCTTTTCAAATTGATTCTTTTAATCTTTTGCTCATGCTAATCTTTTGTTCATTACTTTTATTGTCTCTAAACATTACTTCATCTTTGTAGAATCGGTTTCGATTCAGAAAAAACTCAGTAATTGGCATTTGAATCCCGATAATATTCACAAATTGTTGAATGGATATTTAAGAATAGAAACTAGTCATTAAAAGCATAAAAGGCATTAAAAGCATAAAAAGCATCAATTACTATCAAACGCCAAAAACCTGCGTCAAATTTATAGCTTTATTTTCTTTAAGCTTTGAACTTTGAATTTCATGAACGCATGACTTCTAGGGCATTGAATTGATCAATTATAGTACTTCAGAGGCTTATCAACAATAGAATACAGTAGTTTACTAATTACAGTAGTGTGTAGGGAGTGTGTAGCGAGTTTTAACTTCAAAAAAACGAATCTAGACTACAAGCGGATTCCGAAACGTTGACAAGAAGAAGCTTTCGTTTCAGCTTTCATTTCAGCTTTCATTTCAGCTTTCATTTCAGCTTTCGTTTCAGCTTTAGTTTTTACTTTTATTATCATAAATCTAAATCTCAAAAAATTCTAGCCCTTTTTCAAGTTTTCAATCAATTCAAAAGTCAATCTTCAAAAATTTGTTTCAATTTTACGTAATTGCTGGAGAAAACCTGTAATTTGGCATTGAAAAGAGAATATTTTTAAAGCATTTCTAGTATTTTATTGTAATTCTAATGAAATTTTATTTAAATATTTTAATAATTTTATTGATAAGTTGGAAAAAATTTCATATTAAAGCAGTGAAATGCATTCTACAAGTCGATTCAGTTGGAAAAGCTGTGTAAGTTTTTTGGTGCTTTAAAAACGCATCTTTTCTGGCATACTACTAGAAATCTCTCTTCTTTTAGTAATGCCCTGAAGAAAAGTGAAGAATTCTGTTCGCTAGAAAGGATGCGTTTACAGAATATTTCAGCATAAAGTACATAAAGAGGGGCATGACTTAGCGTCTTTTTCTTTCTTCCTTCTTCCTCCCTTTCTTTCTTCCTTTCTTCCTTCCTTTCTTCCTTTCTTCCTTCCTTCCTTCTTCCTTCCTTCCTTTCTTCTCCCTTGTCTTTCCCTTTTTCTCTTGACAACTTAAGGTACCACATAGCTCAGTGGTTAGAACAATTGCTTGCAAAGCATTCAATCCCTCTCCGAAAACTTTTTCCCAATTCCAGCTCTCCATCCCAATGCACTGGTACTTTGTGCTTGATTTCTCAGCAACTTTTCCCATTGAACACTACGCGGCGAGACTGTGTACAGGGGATGATCTATTGGAAACCGGCGTGCTACTTCGATACGCATGTAGTTAAAAGCCCTACTGGCACTCCGTTGCCCGGTTTCACGTGTCTTTGCGAGTGAGTGTTAAATCTAAAAACAGAAAGAAGAACTTGTATGAAATGTTGTTAAAAATAAAGCTGAAAAACCAAGAGGATGGAACATGGTGGGTGGAGAGGAGTTGAGAAAAGTTACAAATCTGAATCTTATACACTAGTAATTTAACTGTTTCACCGCTAAATGCTTCCCATATTGTATTCATTTTCAGAGGAAAGAGCTCGACTACCAGGTAGTTCAACGGGAATTCGCACATCAACAACGGCAGGTTGGAAACTTTGAAGCGTACATTGTGCTCTATTGGGTTGGTGAATTGAAAACTGCCGGCTATTTCGCAGATAAAAAACAACAGCATTGAACCAGCTGAAAGGGGGCTTTGTTTACTTCAACATTTCCTCTAATTATTGCGAAAAAACTATGCTTCCAGCTTTTTATTTTTTGGTATATTTATTCACTTCTTCTATTGCACTCGACAATCTGCCACCGGGAAATATTCGTCACGTCATGCTTCATGAGTTCCTACAAGAGCACAGTGCAGGCTTGGCAGCTGCTAATATTAAAAAGATATATGGGGAGGACTCACCTTCCGAAAGAACGTAGTATGGTTTGCTAAGTTTCGATCTGGGAGAAGAGTTAGGGGTTGATCAACCCAGGTACCCCAACTGGATGATTCCAAATTACTCGAACTCATTACCAACGACCATCGGGTATCATCGCGTGAATTGGGAGAAGAGTTAGGGGTTGATCATGCTACAGTGCTAAATCACCTTCATACCCTTGGATTTAAATCGAAACTTGGGACTTGGGTGCCCCATGACCCCACTGACCCCCAGAAGTGGCAGCGCACCTTCATCAGTGCCGCTCATCTCTCACGATACGAAAGAAAATCCTTCCTTCCTCGAATTGACGACCCTTAATGCAATCAAATACAGCGAACAGTTGGGAAAGGTGAATGAATCCCTAAAGAAGAATAGGCCCTTCAAGTCAAAGATCGTTCTCCTCCACTACAACGCGCGCCTTCATGTTGCAAAACTGACTCGCTCTAAAATAAACAGCCTTGTTTGGGAACTTTTGGCACATTCCTCATACAGTCCGGACCTTACCCCTTTTGACTACTATTTATTTAGGAGCATGAGTAATGAGATTGCGGGAGAACACTTCGATTCGAAAGAAGCAGTCAAAAATTGGCTTTGAAAGTTTTTCGATTCAAAAACAAAATCCTACCACGAAAGAGGAATCCGCAAATTGCCTTTAAAATGGGCAAAAGTCGTCAAGAATAATGGAAACTATTTGGAATGAATTTATGGTTTTATGTTGAATAAATTTACTAAAATCCCGCAGTTTTCAATTCACCAACCCAATATTTACACTATGTTAACTTCAGCAATCTGACTGAATATTTGTTTTAGGATTTCGAAAAAGTCACTAATTTGAATCTTTCCACTTTGGAGATTCTAATCGAGAACTCGAACTCGAGACGAACGTTTTTCCTTCAAGCTTTGGCAAAGAATGACTACTATGGAGAATTGACGAATGTGCTCGGTCAGAGTCTCGCAGAAGGGTGGATGATGTTCTTCAAGGAAGTGCCGGTTGGGAGATGCTGAGCCGAATCGTGTAGACGAGAATTAAAAGGACTGAAAGTTGATGACTTTCACGTTACTCAATTTTAATGCTTTGAGCTGGAGGTCGGCTCGTTTGGACTAAAGTTCTTTCTAAAATGGGTCAACTTTTCTACTAAGGTTTCTACTAGTGGGTCAATTTGAAACCTTTGAATCAAACTTTTGAAAACTATCGTAGTCTGGCCTCGTTGGTATCCAAGTACCAGAATCTTTGAATGCTCGTCAAATCAGACCAACTTGAGTTGGATAAAACTAGGAATCGATATTCACATTAGATTACGGAAAGTGGGCATGTATTAGACTGAAATGCCGGTGAAAAAAGACAAGAGGGGCCTACGGTAGCCGTGGGGCACGGTTTAGCATTCAGCATTCAATAATCTACAGTGCTTTTTCAGAGGAACTATTTGTGTTTCGAGGAGATGCAAGATTTCGCCTACAAAGTCGTCCATCGGTTGTCGATTCAATTCCCTCCGTCATTGATGCAATATTTGGATGAGAATTTTCAAAGATCTGTGCGTCATCATCAGGTTTTGAGAAAAATTGAAGCAAAAACAGAACAGATTTTAAGAATGTCTCATTTCAACATGGCCCACTTGGGCATCAAGGTCAAAATCCAGCTCAACATCAGCTTCAGAAATCCTCATATGTTTGAGAAATTAAAATATTATATTTGAGAAATCTTTTCTATAATTTTTAACCCAATAAAACTTTTGTATAACTTTTCAAAACCAAATACGAAAAATTGATCACAGCTGAATATTCCGAAAATGGAATGGAGCTGATTTTCAAATTAAAGGTTTTTACAAAAGTGAATCAAGAAAAGTGTTGAAAAGTGTGAAAAAACTGGACAATGGCAATATTAACAATGATAATATTTCATGCTCAGGTGATCTTTAATTGAAATTCAGGAGCGTAGAGAGTACGATAGAAGCGAGATTACGGTAGAGACAAGGTTATGGTAGTTAGAGACTGTAAAGAGAAGATTCCGATAGAGGCAAGGTTACGGGGCTAGATATGACGGTAGAAGCAAGGTCACAGTTACAAAGTTAGTTACAAATGTTGTCACGTTTTAGAGAAGGGATTAGTTGAAAGTTGACACATTTTAACCTCAAGTGAATACTAATCAAGTGGTACATAATCAGTAAAATTTTTAAAATCCCAACGAATGCAAGATTCTATATCCAAAGTAGACAACTTGAGAAATGGGGCGAGCCCCGTTTGGCTCGGGATCCTCATGAGTAGGCTGATTCTCGAGGACGCGTCGTTGCTAAAAAAAGCCTCTTTCAATGACTATAAGCAGTGATCTTTGATCAAATAAAGCTTGAGAGAAAGCTTATGGTAGATCACTTTAAAGTTGACAGATTGACATCTTTTAGAAAACAACCTATGAGCCAAGTCAAGTCAAAAACTTCTGAAAGTTTTCGCAAACAACTTCTTGTCGAAAAACCGAAAGCCAAGCTCTACTTTGGTCTAGTTTAGGGCAGAAAACTTGGGTTTAAAACGTCCTAGCCAAAAGCTCATCCTAATAGGAAAGGATATTTTTAAACCTGGAAACAAGATCTACCTGAGCCTTTAAATTGAAATACTATTAAAACAAGTTCCTCACTTGGTCTTGTGTCTGCTGTTGTCGCTCATTCCAAAGTTGGCGCTCTCTTTGCTCCTAAAGATTTTTAGAGATTCATCGAGATTTTTCAACAAACTCTTTCCATTTGATCCAATCGCTCTTGATATTCGCGTCTCTGCTCGTTTTCTTCCTAAATAAATTCTTGTTTTTCTTTCTTTGATTGATTGATACGAGTACTGATAGAGTATTGATACGAGTACATTTTAGTAATCATTCTTAGTACTAGCTATGAACCAAATTTGAATACAATCTTCAAAGAGCATTTAAAGAGCCTGAAGTAAAAAGAAAGCTAGAAATAGAAAACAAAGTCTGCTATAAGTTTTAGAAATTTCTTTGATTTTCGGCGCCGACTCATTCTCCCCAACCCAATAGGTAGTTAAAGGACCTTATAGGATAAAGCTAATTAAAGGATGTTAAAGGACCAAGCTATGAAGCTGGTCAAGCTAGAAGCTAGAATAAATAGATGTTTATTGTAATCCTTTCTATATCATTTCTTACATAAACCCTTTGTTGTCGCACTGAATCGACTCTTTCTTGAGCTTCTTGGTGTCGTCTCTCTTCTCGAATAGCGTCCGCTTGTCGTTCTTGATCGTACTGTTCTCGTTGTCTGAAAAGATTTATGGTGATTATTGGAATGGACTACGGATAAGGTATAACAAATTTTATAACTATAATGCACTGTATTTCTTCCTCGAGTACTCTATTTTGTAAACTCTCACAATATCTTTTCATTTCAGTCAATTTCCGCTTATGATTTGGTTTAATTACTTAATTACTCAAGTTTTAAATCTCATCAGATCAATGCTTGATTACTAAATAATTTTCATTATTATTGACGGCTTCTGCACATTTTACAGGCAATTTGCGGATTCCACTTTCGGGGTAGGATTTTGGTTTGTGTGTGAGACAAGTGTGAGACTCAAAAAATGGAGGACTGGAGGTGTCCCAGTTTGAGCACTTTCTTCAAAAGAAACCCATTTTGGTGTCAATAGAAAAGTTGTAGAGAATCAAAAATTAGGCTTATAGCCAAATTTCCAAAAAGGTACACTTAGTAGTTTCGCTTAAAATGCAAGTTTTGTGAAAATTCGTAACATTTGGCATTTCTTGAAAACCAGTTTTTGAATCACCAATCCAACTACAACAGCTTCTAAGCCAACATCATGATATCAAGAAATAAAACCCTTTTTTACTATTTCAGTTGAAAGTTTCTTGGCATGAGAATGACAAAGAAAAGGGCAGACAGATGACAAAATAACCCCACCGAACATCGCTCTCTTTCATATGATTCATTAAGAGTAACATCGCCTCGTTGTTTTCTTTGTTCGACTCAGCTTTGGCCCGTCGGCGTTGCTCTTCTTCTGAATATTTATTTTTGAAAAAAGAGTAGAGAAATGCTACAGAATTGCTAAATTCTATTCATTTACCCAAAGCGCTTCTCATTTGCTCGAATTTAGCCTCAGTTTCTGCTTGACGTGCTCCAAATCGTTGCTTCTCATTGACCCGAAGTTGCTCCATTTTTCCAATTTTATCCATCAATTGTTCCATTCTCAATTTGCCACGAACTTCAGAAACAAAATCGTCTTCACATTTCTAGAAGATACGTTAAAGAATAAGTCTTTTGTCTTTCTAGTATTCTATTCTTCTGTCTTTTAGCATTTGTTGTACTTGTTTTTGAGTGACTAGTAATAGAAACACATTCATTCTAGCACATTTATTTCCTTCTGGTGTTAAAAAAATACGGTTGTACGTGTACGATAGTACGGTAAAAGAGTACGGTAGAAGAGTACGGTAGAAGAGTACGGTAGAAGAGTACGGTAGAAGAGTACGGTCTTGATCAAGAATGATCAGGAATTAAGTGCACCAGAAGAGGTGGGTTTACACAAACGCCTGTACCTTGAACGGTGTTGTGAAAGCCTGACGATTGTTGTCGAGAATCTGGGAGATTGTTTGCGGTGAGACGGTCGGCAGTGTGTTCATCACTTCGAGAGTCAACTCTAGCTAAAAAATTGAATATTAGAAGGAAATTCGATTCAAGTCATAACCCTTTTTTGTTTCATATCGAGTTTGCAACTTCTCCGCACATCTCTGCAAGTTCACTGAGATCTGTTCGTCGCTTGTTGTAGTGGAGATGCACTAGATATTGGAGATGATTGCAATGATCATTGGACATGATCAATCCTTTCAAAATATTTAATGTTTCCAAGTGTAAACCTCTCTCAAATTCCCAATATGCTCTTCAAGGAGTTTCTCGAAAATTTCCTTTCCTTTCCGCTCTAAATTCCTGGCACCGTTTTCGCGTGTAAGACCTTCGAACTTGACCTAAACAGAATGCAGAGCTTTCTTTTGAATAAGAACTCTTTCTTCCTTCCTTCCTTTCTTCCTTTCTTTCTTTCTTTCTGTCTTTCTTGATTTTGAATAAGAACTCTCTCTTTCTTTCTATCTTTCTTTCTTTTGAATAAGATTTTATTATTAAACTAAATACAGATAGTTCAATATATGAGAAAACTGAATACCTTGATCATATTCGAAAGCAGCGTTCGTTTCGTTTCCACCAATTGTGTCTCTTTAGAGAATTCGGAAACAGCTAAGAATTAAATTTCAAGTTAAATTTGAATTCAACTGTCAGATATCTGTTGTAAATGATTTTAGAACGATTCTAGCTCTAGAAGTTATGAAATCCATGAATTTCCAGCTTCTGTACTACCTTTTTCAAAATAACTCATCGCTTCTGTATTAGCTTGATTGTGTCGCTCGGTGATGAGTGCCGGGTCACCGGGATTGACTAGAGCCTCGATGCCTAGCTAAACAAATTGATTTGTTCTGTTCTTTGTGCACAAAAATAGGAACACTCTCCTTGTAGTGGACTTAATTTGTCAATGTTCTTGCGCATATTTTTATAGTAAAGGCCTAGTAGAAGCACTGACCGAATGGCAACATACTCTAATGGATTGTACGCTGGAAAAGTTGGAAAGATGAGTGATTATGCGCTGGAAAAGTTAGAGAACTGATTGATTTCTTCATCTGGATCTAGTTAGAACAAGATCTGTTCCAGTGTGCTCTATTTCAACCTCTAATTCCGTATTTTCTCTAAAAGTAGTGCCCTCTGCTTCTCCCGCCGGCCGAGCCGAGTTGAGGACTATTTTACAGTTCCCAAGCTTTCACAGAAGCTCAACACTCTATTCCCCTACAAGATATCATCGTCAGCTACATTTTCCGACCACACATCGATAGGTTCTAATAAGCGGCTTTCGAGATTTCAATGAATTTAGGCAAAGCTCAGAAAATACGGCTACCGCTAGGCATTTCACTCACCCGCATCCCCTGCTCATAAACCGAATAACTCCCATTGACCGCTTCAGCCATTCGAATATCTCTATATCGATTCTCATTATTTTCCGTTTTTTCCAAGCAACGATCCTGAAACTTTTGTGGAAAGTGATGCTGAGTTTTTTAAACCTGCAATCCCTTTACGAAATCGTTGAAACGTGATCGCTTCTCTTCAGCCGTGCCGAAGAATGGGCTGACCAGATAGATCTTAAAAAGATAAAAGATAAAAAAACAAAAAACATTTATGCCTTTGTGCTCTAGCAAACGCAAGCTATCTAGCACATTAGAGTAGCTCAGCTTCACAGTTTCACCTTCACAGTCTTACCTTCATAGCTTCGCCGCTGATTCTCTTCAATTTCTCTGCATAGAGTTCAGGTTGGATTGGGTGATGACTGTTTTCTCGGATTAACTTGAAAATTGAAAGTTTAGGAATTAAAATAGAGTCTTTAATTAGATTTTTTTGAAAGTTTTGAAAAGTTTTCCTTTCAAACCTGTTCATGTTTTTCGTTGAAAAAGCTTTCAGCAGTAGTTCGAGCTTTTTGAAAGTAAAGTTGTGAAGTAGCCTGTAAAGTGGTTAAAAATCATAAAGCGTATCAATTTTTTTTAAAGTTTATATGCCGTAAATACTGTAATAGTACCCCACCCCCTCGTACGGTCGCGTAGGCGCAGTTTTTAGTATTTCGTTTTTTGCAATGCACCCGTACTTTCAAAAAATACGTCTTTGGTATCAAAAAATAGCTGAAAATCAGGGCTATTTTTTGATACCTAAGCGCGCATTGTAGCATCAACCAGTGTCGAGAAAAACTCGTTCAAAGCTAGACTACACAACACTCCGCACCGTCGTTATGGGGGTGGGGTACTATTACAGTATTTACGTTATGTAAAACTCTTTCTTAACATTCTTAACATTGATTTTTCAATCTTAAAAACCAAAACCAAGTACGCTGAGCCGATTGCATGGTGGTGATTGTGTGTGACGTGGTTAACAAGACTCTGAAAAGTTCAACTTTCTTTCAATTGCCTAATTTCTGTAGAATAGTACTCAAATTTCTCGATACTGTAAGAATTTTATAAAAATTACTTAAAGATCCCAAAAAATAGATCGTTTATCTTATCTAAGTTCACCTCTACATGTGCTTTCAGAGTTTCACCAGTCAAAATCGTTCCCATCACGTTTTTCGGAACCAAATTATCGAGCACATGGTTGGCACAATCGCATAGAACGGAGAGGAAATCCGAGCCGCAATCTGAAATCGATTTTGAGTTATCGTATCCAGCTGGAATGGACAGCTGTATCTAGATAGAATGCACAGCTGTATCTAGCTAGAATGCATAGCTATATCTAGCTAGAATGCACAGCTGTATCCAACTAGAATGCACAGCTATATCCAGCTAGAATGCATAGCTATATCTAGCTAGATTGCACAGCTGTATCCAGCTACAGTGTCAAACTTCTGTCACAAAGGAAAGTTCCAAAAAAGGCTGAGACTTTTAAACGGTGATGCAAATGCCTATCAGACATGACGAATCCGATTCTGTTTATTTTTACCCACGGGCCCTGGCTTTCGAGAAAAGCGCATGCAAAGTTGCAGCCATTTTCAGCAAACTCTGACTAGAGGGAGCCAAGCCGCATGGAAAAAAGCAGCTGCAATCTAGGGGATAATCCCTTAGGCTATCGTTAGGCTAGCCCTATTTCTGTGCCCCAGGTTCGATTCCTCTCGCTGCCCTACCTTTTGCTTTTTTTGTAAAACTTCCGCAAAACATTTTTTGGAGTTCTTTCAGCTTTTTAAAGTCTTTTTTCTTTTTGAACTATTTGTGAATAAAGAAAAATTTAACAAAGATAATGAAAAGACTTCAAAAATGGAGAAAACAATAGAAGTTCGTGGATTTAGCACATTTAATAAACGCCAATTCTGCACAATTAACTTCATTGCATTCAACAATATCAATATCGAAACACTTCTGAATTGGGGGACTTGAATGGGAAGGATCGAACGAGTTTCAAAGTCTCACACCCTCCTTGGAACGGTCCCTTCTCAGCTACACTACCCAGTTCCAGTACCGACTACCGTACCCAACTACTGCCTCCAGATACTGTGCTCAACTATCACACCAGTTCTTTACTCAGCAACTTTACTAACAAACCTTTCACCGGCACTTCGCCACTCGCTCGAATCACCGGCTCAGCTGGTCTGGGCACCATAAAACAATCAACTTTCTCGAATGAGTCCAAAACACCGGTGAGTAGCGTTCTCAATGTGGGTGCTTGCTGGGATTGTGCCTGAAAACGTCATAATTATTCTAATTCTAATGATTTTAAAGATTCTAAAGCTTCTAAAGATCCAGGGTTATTCTAAAGACAATTTTCCGGGACAAGACCGGTCCAGGCAGTCAGACAAGGCCTGGATCCGCCAAAAGCCAAGCTTGGAGTCTGGGCTAGCCTAGCTAGGTTTACTTAGGTTGGATAAACTAGCAAAAACTTTACTTTCAACTCCTCAATGTACTCGTTGTCGGGTCCAGCTCGGATCGCATCTCTCACCATTATCAGAAAGTTCTGAATTTTTTTTATGGAACTATCTGCTTTCACTGTTAAACCTCTAGATTATATAAGCTTTAAAGCTACAGTGCTAACTACAGTACTTAATTATCAGTTACCATATTCTCTCTAATAGTAGTGCACCGTGAGCGTTGTCTAAATTCCTTGAAATCTCAAAAGCCGCTTATCAGGACCTATCGATGTGGGGTCGGAAAATGTAGCTGACGATGAGAGCTTGCAGGGGATTAGAGAGTTGAGCTTCTGTGAAAGCTTGGGAACTGTAACTGAACCAAAATAGTCATCAACTCGGCTCGGCCGGCGGGAGGGGCGGAGGGCACTACTTTTAGAGAAAATACGGAATTAGAGGTTGAAATAGAGCATACTGGAATAGATCTTGTTCTAGCTAGATCCAAATAAAGAAATCACTCAGTCCTCTAACTTTTCCAGCGTATTCATCTTTTCAACTTTATCGATGTGGGGTTGGAAAATGTAGCTAACGATGAGATCTTGTAGAGGATTAGAGTTTTGAGCTTCTGTGAAAGCTTGAGAACTGTAACTGAACTAAAATAGTCATCAACTCGGCTCAGCGGTTTGCACTACTATTAGAGAGGTCGTCAAGAAATTCAAAAGCTTTCACCTGTCCAACTCTTTCGTCAGCTTTTTGACAAAACGTGATGAACGTGTTGAGCGCGTCAAGATCTTGGGCATCGATTTGGCTTTTTGTGTTGAAAATCTAGATTTGAAAACTTGTACTATTTCCATTTCGAAAAAAATTCTACACTTTCTACATTTTTGTCCCTTCAAAAACGATTAAAAAGCTTTATTTTGGAAAAAGAAACTAATCACTTATTTGCTCAAAATAATTCTCCCTTCAAAAAAGGCAAAAAAGGCAACTTCGCATTTATCGAGTTTTTCTGACACCAGAAAAACTCTAATCAGATATTTTTTGATGACAAATAAAGCAGAAAGGATTTTCGTTATCAGTTTATTGCTCAAAAATAGTGTTTGGAAGTATTAGGAATTGTGAAATGTTGTTGAAAAGTGTTGAAAAATCAAATTTCAAGATCGATCGCTCTTTTAAATACGATTTTATATGTCGTAGCCGATTATGATT